TTTTATTTGTATTCTAGAAAATTTTACAAGTTTTTGGTATTCACATGCAAATATTCTAGAATTTATTCTTACTATTATATCATTAAGTAATTTAATTAGTGAAATTTATATCGATACAAAAAATAATACAAGTTTAGAAATAAATAATAAATTTCATAGTGATAATCAAAAAACAACTGAAACTTTACAACGTATTAGGTATGTTGTATGACGTTACTTTTGATACATTTATTATCATATTACATGTCTTACTATCGAATTTCGAGAGATAATTGTAAAAATAATTTTTCTTTTCAGATCTATTTCCTTCCTCCGTTTTTTTTTTAATCAATTTTTAACAATTAAAATATCTTTTATACTGTTATGTCTTTTAATTTAGATCATATGGATTAATATTATCTTTATTACGAACATTACGTATGCTACGTATATTACGTATATTAGAAATAGTATTTCGTTTTACACAAGTACGAATTGTTTTTCTTGCACTTAGTCGTTCTGTTAAACTTATTTTCCATGTTGTTCTTTTAACTATTGTACTCAATTATTTTTTTGCACTTATTGCATTATATTTAACACAATTTGGATTGAACACAACATCAAATGAACATATGAAAAAAATAAATTCGTTATTTGGAACAGGTTTGGATATATGAAAATATGTACTCAATTTTCTCGATTATTTATTTTGTCATGTTTTCTTATAATAATAGTACCTCGAGCATTTATTACTGTCTTTCGTATATTTACGAAAGATGAATGGTATGAAATTAAAATGGAAATGTATTCTTTACAAATTCGACCATTTATTATTGATTTATATGTTATTAGTTGGTTATTCTTTGGTGGTTATGTTCTTAATCCGTTGCTAATTGGAGCAATGGTAAGTTTTCTTTTGTCTTTTGTTTTCTTCAAAATGTCAACATAAAATGTGTGTGAAATCGATGATAGTTAATCAACATTTTAAAACAATAGCTTGTGTCGAAATAAGATGTTTGTTAAATTTTGATCAAGTGAGAAAATGTGAAAATTTTATACTTCATCTTACTCCAAATCTATTATCGACGTGTATCACGAGCATATTATTTTAAATTCATTTTGTATCAGTCTGTTGAGCAATAAAGTCTAAATAGTTCATTACACTGCAGCATTTCAGCGAAGAACAATGGAGTATTTATTCTTTATTGCCAGATGGTCTGATATAAAATGAATTCAAAGTAATATGCTCGTGACACATGTAAATAATAGACTTGAAACGACTAAGAAATTCTAGACGATAGCTGTGACATACTCTTAGAATACGGAGTTTTTACTTTGTCTTCCTTGATTTTGATTCATTTGAAATTAAAATAGAATACTTAAGTTATGTTACCAATAAATTCTATCGAAATAGAAAAAATCGTGAAAAAATTGTTTTTTTTTTTTTTATTAATTATCTTCGAATAATAATTATTATTGTAAATGAGTATTTAAAATTCGATTAAAAGTAAAAGATTTTACTAAATTTTGAACTATTCATAATTTTTCAAATTTGAATATTTATCTACTATTTAATTTAGGTGGGTACCTTTGATGAAACTCGAAAAGAATTAACTTCACGTATAAAACAAATTATATCTGAAACTTGTTTATCACTTAATGATATAAATCTAACTAAAAGTCCATCATCAGAATCATCATTGTCTTCATTACTTGTTCATGTTAATTCTATTGACAATGATAATGATAAATTTAATGAATGGCTTCGTATTACTTCAGATGAAATTCGTTTACTCGGTAGATAAAAACAAAATATTTCAAAATGATGTTCTTTTCTTTTTTTATTTTCTTTATTTAATTTAGTTCAAGATCGTATTGAAACTCAATGGCCAATTTATACAGCATTTTATTATCTTCAATTACTTGAAATCTATTTTGAAAATATAGCTGAACGACAATTACTATTCGATTTTATTTCTATTTATTTATTAACATTACATGATAAAGAAACTAGACAAATTAATCCACCAATACTTTCATCATCATCTTCATCCGATGATGACAATTGATATTATCAATATTTAAATATAATTAGTATTATTGTAAAAACTAACTACTGATAATGATTGATGGATGAAGCAACCACATGTCTGTGAGACAGATGTCTGAAGGACAGAACAGCAGTCAATATATATTTTTCTTTATTTGTATCTTTTTTTAGGCCTTTTTTTGTTTTTTTTTTTCTCCTTAGAGAATTGGATTGTTGCTAAAATGCTTTTAATTTGTGTGCAGTACACATATAATAGATGTTAGTTTGACGTATATATGAAAGTTTTTCTTTTTTCTTGTGTCATTTATTTCGAAGTTAGTAATCTATTTTCTTACTATCCGCATTCACTGATATTTGATCATTTATTTCTAAAATTGTTGTTTGAATAACAAATGGTCGTGCATAACCCATACGAATAAGTAGATAGTCTAAGAAATAAAATAAAAAACTTCTGAGAAATATTGAAAATTCCTTTGTTTTCTTTTTTTTACGAAAAACAAATAAAAATTCTTCCATATACATTAATAAGATAAAAACCGTAATCGTTAACATTAATTCTTGATTTTTATATTCAGTAAAAAGTCGATATAGTGGAGATACTTCTTTAATTTCACATAAGTCATAATAAGAATTATCAGATAAATGTGACATTTAATATGAAAAAATCAACAGAATAGAATAGAAAAGAGCGCATTTCGTATATAAATCTCTTTTCGTTATGCACCGCTGGCAAGTGTGGTACATAGTTAATTTTTCAAATGTACTACATTAGCCCGGTGTTAACGAAAAAAGTTTTATCTTAGTTACGAATATCATAAAATGAGTAACAGAAAGAAAAACAAAGTGATTGTTCTTGTCTTTTGTTCTTTCATATCGTAAATTTAACATTGATTTTAACAAGAAAAATGTGAGTAANTGCGATTAACAGCCATGGACAGTAAAAAGCGTTTTATATGGAGATAGTTATCATTAGTCACGTGGATTATAGTAAAAGCACAGTAATCTAACCACTGCCCATCGAATGTAGCATTTTGCATAAGTGAACTTTCGAGAAAGAAAGTATGAAACTGAGGTTATTAATTTTTAGCAATTCTTCGATCAATTTCTTCGATTCTTGATAATCCATTGATGAGTAATGCGTGAATTTAAGTCAATCATATACTCGATTACTGTCGTCGATTCTCCATATTATCACGATTTCAAACTGTGAATGAAGTGCGTATATAAGCAATAGACAAAAATAGATTTTCACCAAGATCAGTTATATACTTCTTCTATTCTTTTGGACGGGTGAAGCAAATCATTATGAGTGTCAATACAATGGGTATAATTCAGATACTATTAACGACAGAGTGGGTGCGGGTGTGGGTGGATGTGAGTGTAGGTGTGGGTGAGGAAAAGACATCCATCCACACCCACACCCGCCCTAGAAACAAAAAAAATGTCAAGACTAAAAAGATTCAGAAAGGAATGACGATCATAAAAAAAAGCGAAAAATATCGTCGAAAGAAAAATGGAAAAGATGAAAATGTCGAAAGAAGAAATATCGAAAGTAAAAAAAGCTGAAGATAATGTAAATAGTGAATCTACAATTAGATTGTGTCGTCAAGATGAAGAAGCGCACTCCAGACACATGTTATGACCAATCGATGCTGGTGCTCGAGGTCGGTCAAAAACGGCATCGATAAATTCAACAAAAAAACGTATTACTACTTTAAATGAATGCTTTACAAATAATGAAATCTATCTTAATTAATTAGTGGATGCTTTATCATTAACTGCAGCAAAGCAAAACAAATGAGCTATAATAGCTAACATGCATCCTTACTTTAATGTCACTTTTTTACTTTTTTCTATTCTATACAAAATCGTTTCTATACAGAACCTATCGGGTCCAGATCTCAAAATTTTTAGTCGAATGGATTCGGATCCAGAAAAATTATGGATCAGATGAGCTCTAGCCACAAAAGATTAATCAACCAAGTTCGAATCCAACAATTTTGATCGACCGGATCTGGTTTCGGATCCAAGAAATTTTAATCAGCTGGATGCAGGAATTTTCGAACTCGATGAGTTCTACTTCTGTATGAGTTTTAAAAAAATTCTTCCTTCTCAAAATATCGGTGTAGTTATTTATATCTAAAAAGATTAAACTATCTTATTTGTTTCGACATATTTTTTTCGACCTTTTTTATGTCATACATTGTAACACCACTGTTACAGTGATGTCGCCTGTACACACACATTCTCTATATCAGCATTATCCTCTATCATCTTTCATCTCTGTTTGATCTTGTATTCGTTCCTTTCGTTCTTCTCGTGATATATGTGTTCCTCTATATCGATATAAAAAACAGTTGATATATTTTACGTTACGAAATAAAGTAGTCCACGTACATCAAGGACATACGTATACATATATCTCTATCGAACCTCACATAGAGAGAACGCTAGCAACCACGTGCCAATAAAGAAAAAGTAGACAGTGCGTTTTCATTTCCCAATTCTCAGGGTCATTATACAGAGTAATTCTTATTCTTTTGATGAATTTACTTTGTAAATCATTTGTGGTCGTATTCAACATGAATATCATGATATTTATGAAGGTTTTCGTTGGAGAAAAAGAATTTTCGACTTGTTAAATGTGCGATTCATTTAGAAACAATATCTAATGTTATGATGGCTTTTAAGTAGATTGAAACATACAAATCTTCGATTTATGTTTTCTTTTCTTCACACAATGATGAAGTTTAGATCGTTCACGAATACTTTTTCCTATATTCTCGTTTTTCGGAGCGATTATAATTCATATTTCACATTTAGATCAACCATAGACACAACTTATGATTCAAATTTAAGGTGTTCAGTATGTCTGTGATGATGTGGATGTAATAATTTTGCTACACGATATCCACACCCCACTCTTCTTTATTTTATATTACTATTATGAAGCTAAAGAAGTTATGCGAGTTCCATACCCTTATCCCCAAGGGGCTGCGCTGACAAGCTTTTTTAAATGTCTTATATTACTAATCTTAATAAGATGTTCTTTTAAAACAAGGAATGTTTGTTTCTTTTTCTATATAAGGACTTCACATCTGAGAGAATGGTAATCCTGCTACATAATCTGAGCACAATGTGATTGAATTAAGTGTGAACCTGCACCGTTCTACACACAAAATCGATGAACGTTACGTGTTCTTTATTTTCACAATCGAGAACAAGAACATATACAATTGTAAAGTATAAGCGAATTTTGGTCTTTCACTGTTACTAGATAGCTCATTGTTGTTCAGTGATTGATTACCATATTTTAGTAACCATTTCAATTCTTCTCGAACTTTTATTTTTCCATACCAAGGATTACCAGTCATTGAGTGTCCTTCTTTTGGAAAAATAATTAATTTAACTGGTATACCAAGATAATGAAGTCCTCGTTCTAATATATAACTTTGAGATGTAGGAACTCGATTATCATTTTCACCAGTGATGATATGTGTTGGTGTATGTATTCTATCTAATTGATAAATAGGTGCTTCGTTTTGATAAATATTTGGTGCTTCCCATGGAAATCCTCCAAACAAGTAGCTGAGTGGTACAGGCAAATCCATCATACCCCATGCTGAAGCATAATCAACAACGCCAGCACCTGACAGGGCAGCATTAAAACGTCTAGTCTGCGTAATTAACCAATTTGTTAAAAAACCACCGTAACTATAACCACCGACTGCAAGTCTGTGTGGATCAACAATGCCATCTTTAATCAATCGATCAACTCCACAAAGAATATCTTTTCCTGGTCGAGATAGTGGTCTATAACGAATTTCATTGAGAAATTGATCACCATAGCCTGTTGATCCTCGATAGTTAGGTTCTAATACCAACCAACCTTCTGAAGCTGCCAATGAAGCCCAATTATGCCAAGCGAGCCCAAGTCTATTTAGACTAGCCCAATAAGGACCTCCATGAATAAGCACTAACAGAGATAAATTTTTAGATTCAAACATGTCAGGTGGATAATGTAGGATGCCTTCGATCAGTCGATGATCATCTTCATTTATCCAATTGTATAATTTTGTTTGCGGTAAATTTCTTCGAGTAAATAAGTCATTTTCGTTGGTTATTGCTTGTGCTGATTTCAATTGATCAATATTGTTAATGAAATAAACTTCCATAGGTTTTTCAAGTGATGAATAAACAAATGCGATTGATCCATTCTCATTTGATGATACAATCGATTCGTATGTTCCATTCCATCCATGATGATGAATTAAATCTTTCGTTGATGATTGTTGTGTATAAATTTGTACTTCTGTTCCTAATTGTCCGAGTATATAAACATCAGAATCATGCTTTACTGTGTATCCATTGATACTACCATGAAATGTTTCTCCTAAACGTGCTAGTTGTCCATTCAGTAAATTTAATGAATAAAGACGATATTGTGTATTATTAAATTTTCCTTTATTTGAACTAAGACTGACTGTAAGAAAAAGGAGATGATGACCATCAATCGATAACTGTAATTCTATTTCGATTTCTTCATTATTAGTCAATTTTGATAATTTCGATGTATTTCGAAGATCAATCGAAAATAGTTCAAACTCATTTAGATTTTCGACAAGTTTCGATACGGATGAGACGATGAGCTGCTCTTCATAGGAAACATATAATAACTGATTAATAAGAAAGGATACATTACGAACAATATTTCTTTCTACAGGTAACAAAAGATTGTTTAAATTGAGATCAATACGATAGATTGTACTGTTACTACGCACTACATGTTGTCGATATTGAATAACATCTTTCCATTCATCTTTATATAATTCATTTTCTTTATCTTTTGACCACAAATCATTAACAGCTATGTAAACAGATGAATCATTGTTAGACCACGTAAAAGCTAACAGAATATCTTTATCAATGTGAATAGGAAATAGTTCATCTGATATAAGAGAATATAAATAAATATATTGTTCTGATTTCTGATCATCCGTCTTATTTATCGAAGTATGAGGTTTTGGTATTAATGCAATGTAGTCACCACTCGGTGACCATTGTGGTTTGATTGATTGACGAAGATTTGTTGTAATTAATTTTTTTGTTTGATTTTGTATATCATAAAGCCACAAAGTATTCTCATAAGCATTAGTATTCCATGATTGATGCCTTGTTTGAATAAGCAAATGTTGACCAGTTGGAGAAAATTTCAAAAATGGAAACGTAGTATAATTAAAAAATTCATCAAAAGTTAATTTTGGTTTAGCTTCGACAGAAAAACATGGAAGCATTTGTAAAATCAAGAGTAAATATAATTGCATGAGCATCACCATAATGATCTAAATAGAGCAACAAGATCGATTAATACCGTTATATGACCTTATTTGACATAAATATCAATGATGTAGCTCACTTCTAATGAAAACAGGATTTGAATATCACCGAAAAATAAATAGAATATCTGCCAGATATATATGATGACTTTATTATTTCCATGAAACTACTCCACATCTTGTCTTTTAATTTTCTTTTTACTACTGTTTTATGTAATATTCTATATTGTAGTGGAACTAGTTTTAATTGGATAGCGAAATCACCAAATAACGAAGCTATTTGATGATTTTTATCTTATTTTAATCAATCTTTACTGAACACAAAACAACAATAATACGAAATGGTCCTACCATAATTGCAAAATATTTAGCTAGTTTTCGAAAATCATCTTATGTTAAATCCGCTTTGTTTTTTTTTTAAGCTGCGAGATTTTGTATTTATATCTCCAATGTTAATCTACGTAGCTGATTTTTCTTCTCGAACAGAAAAGCGTTCAATCATCTGCTCGTCACATTTTGATGCATCAGAACGGTGGATGCACCAATGGTATACTCTATATGAACATCATACATCAAATATGATTGGCTAAATCCAGCCATCTAAAGAAGCTATTGTCAGCATAGCAGATATCCATAAAGCTAGAATATAGTGAAGAAGTATAATAGAGCTAACTGTGCCGATATTGATGACACAGTTCGATGATTCTCCTTCTTTCCCTGTCTGTTCTCTTTCCGTTGTTCTAATATATCTCTCTCCTGTCTCTCTTCTATCTCTCTCCTATATATATGTGTGTTATGTATGAAGTTGTTACACTCTGGATATGTGAAGAAGCGAATAGACATCATTGCCGAGAGTGGCGGTAAGCTACTCCACCTCTATTCAGTTTGTCATGACGTATCAAGCCAGTCAGGGCCTTATTGATCGTTACAATAATCAAGTGAAAATAATATCATTTTAGTTTATTCTTGATGAAAACTAATCGGTTTTAATTCACTATCTTTCTATTTTTTGCAAGATCAGCATTTAATTGAATTGAAGGCTTTCATTATCATTTAGTAGCAGATCCAGATTGTTGTTTTTTTTATTTATTGCATGTACTATTAATGTTGTGAGAAGTGCTGAATCACCTAAAAGTTAAAAGAGTTTGTCTTGAAAGATGATAAATTCGAATGATTATCACATACGTAAGTTTTAATGGAATCATCACTAACTGGTGAAGTTACATAGACGGCGCATATTTTTGAAAACTCATGTCTACATTTAGTAAATGATTTTAAACGACTTTTATGAAGACAAAAAGGCTAACAGAATAAATTATTTTGCCCTGTCCTAATGAGAATCTTTACTAGTGAATTAAGAAGAGATAAATATTAGTAATTTCAGTGTAGCTGTTCTTCTTTGTCTGTAGTATGAATTATATAAATACAATTAGATCCGTATATGCTTGAACTAATCTTTTTATGCTCAATTTATTCCAGTATGACAAAAATATTAAATTCTGAGAACATAATCCGTGACTTCCAACATTTAGTTTTCAAGTAGCAAATATTGCTGCCAATTAGTTGAAGTTTATAAGAATATCATTCAAATGGTACTCCTACCAAAAAGTCTTGCCGATTGATGGTTCAAAAAATATTTTATCAAATCCTTTTTTTACTACCTAATTGCACACGATACATATGATATTACTTATTTCTTACAAAATGATCGGGTTACAATAAATTTGTCATAAAGTAATTTATTGAAATTAAATCGGACAGTTCAATGTACTTTGAGTTCTTAGTGGGAATTAATGAACGGATGTATATATTATTGCACTGAGCGTAGTTATGCACAACAGGATGAAGTATTTATTGACATCCAGCATGATAATGGTACTATTGAAACTAGTTTTATAAATTATATCACACGTAAGTGTAAAGGTAGTCTAAATTAATTTTTTTCAGACCTTTCGATACATAGATACGGACCAAACAGAAAAACATAAGCCTTGATGAATGCGTAGACAACGAGAAACAAGACGAGACTTCTTAAAAACTTGAAGCCTATATCGTATATTTGTACTACATCCCCCCCCCCCCCTCCCCGCAATAGAAGATCCCCCTGAAGAAAAGTTCACCAAACGTAATAGAAGATCCCACTTTAATTAATTAATTTTTTGCTAATTAGAAACTTTAATTAGTGTATTTTTATCAAGATATGCCCGGTTTTCAGGATTTTGAGCAGAAAAACTTAAGAGAGTAAGTTCAAAATTATATCTAGACCCTTAAAATCCTGAAAAATTCTGATGGAAATCCTAAAATTCCCCTCGGTTTTCTGGAAAACCTTTTTAATTAAAAATTGGGAAAAAATATGGGACATAATACAAGACTCCCATGGAAAAGTTTTATGCTGGGACATAATAGAAGACCCGGAGTCTTCTATTGCGCGAGAAGCGGGGGGGGGGGGGGCGGGGGGAGACGGGTTACAAATACTGTGTGGTACTGTTCAAACATAGGTTGTATCTTCGATATTGAACTAAAAAAATTGTTGAAAAAAAGAAATTTTATTTTGTGTACCTTTTTTTGTAGAAGAAAACTCATTCCATTCAAACTCTTCATTTGTTTTTCTATCTGTTTAGATATGCTATTATCCATAGCTCAAGCCGATGTTACGCGTATTCTATTCAATGTATTCTTATATAATAATAGCTAAATCTCGTTCACATTCGGGACATAAACGATAGTGCTATTTTACTTAGCATGAATGTTCAAACTTTGCATAGTAATAATCTGTTTGAACAATAGCACGAATATGCCGTATGTCGTTCGTGTATGGCAGTGACAAGAATTCATTGTCATACTTCTCTTGCAAAATTTTCTACATGCTGTTGAAAACTGAGTTCATTTGATTTCAATTCGAGTCTTAAAAATTGCGCTCGATTTCAAACTGGAATGGAGCCCGCGATGTCTGTAGATATTTATAATAACGCATTGTCCTAAACATTGCGTAGACCAATCATCAAAAAAGAAATTCGAAAAGTATGAATCTGTTGTGTGTGAGGTAAATTTTTATGTATAATAAGACTTCCTCTTTAGTCTCATACCAAGAAACGATTGCTCTTCCTTGAATCCAAAACTCTCGTTGTTTACTAAAAGTCGACTTGACTTTTTTCCTAAAATTCAGTCTCAAATGAGCAAGACCAGTGACCCATTTAGAGGTGATGTTGATTGACGAGACTGCACGCACCATTTCATCCAAGTCTAAGCCAGCTCTATGGTACTAAGGTTAGGAGTCAGTAAAAGATAATGATTCACACAATAGGTGTAAGCAGTAACTGTCTAATGAGGTACGATATTCGTATAATTTCATGCTGTGCAACGACGAAAAAATGAATAGCCATACAATCTAGAATATAATTATCAATGTCAACTTCTGCATATCATAGATATGTATTAGGGGTTAGATGTTCTTCCTTCTTTTTATTGTAAAATCCCTGACTGAACTAAAAACAAACAAACAACAGAAAAGATCACACACACATCTCTCGCTTCTGCCTATGGAAGACAACATATATATATATATACGTGTATATTGATAGATGTGGCGAATGACTAGATAAAAGAAAGAAACGATAGAGGTGACATCAGTTCAAAGATGAAAAGACATGAAATGAAATGATCATGTGAGGGCAGGCCCGTAACAATATGTTATCCTTGAATTTTTACAAATATCAAAACTCCAAATACGGTAATACTATATTTTAAATAACGAATTATCTTGGTCGAGTAGCACCAATATGAATTTGATAAATTTTATCGATTTTATCAACTGGAATCTTTTCTTCGTTACTAAAATTCTTATTCTGCCAATGGTCTGGTAGGTATGTATTTCATTTTAACGAACGCGATTAATCACACGACTAGTAATTCGTTATCGAAGCTGCCGTTCTGAATGATAATCACTTGATAACGATAATGCAGTAGGATGTCTTGACATTATTTGCCGAAAATATCACCAAACTAAAACATTGATTAACACATGTTTTCGCTTTTATTTATGTTACTGTGTAATATATATTGCGATGTTAAATAAAGATCTACTATTCCACCAATTTTTCGTAAGGACAAATTATGGTCTTGATTTAACGCTATAATTTATTATCCTTTCTCTAAAGAAAGATTTTTAAACACGTGTATGTTTTTTATCAATCTCGATTGTAAAATGATGTAACACTATACAATCTCAGTTATAGTGTCCTGAAAGTGCAACTTATATTGATGATTGTTTCATACCTGACTGTATCAAGAGAAACAGTAATGGTTCGTTCAAAGGGTGAATATAACATGTGATTCACTTCCTTAGCTTAGACATCATCATCCAGAGTTTAACAAGGGCTTGCATCTATGGATATAAACTTCGTTTAATTTGCCTCTCTCAAAACTAATACATGGTATATAGATGATGCCAATAGATGTCGTTTCCATCACATATAAACTAACGAATAACATCACCTGAAAAGAGACAGAAAAATAGAAAATGATGAACATGGGGTATGGCTTTTCTAGCTGGCACAGCCATAATAGTATATAATAAATACTTCTGTTTTTTCAACAAGTTGTTATAGTTAAAGCTCAATGATATGATGTATAGCTAGACACTGCTACATAGTACTTTTAGTGTAAATATGAGATATGAATCTAATCATTTGGCTAAGTAAATGTCAAAAACCTGTATCTGCCACTTATCATCTCCACAATGATATACTTAGGGTTAACCAAAAGTTCGTAGACTTGTGTTTAAAATTTTATAAAATAGCTGATATCGAAAGTTTTATTGCATGAATACCTAGTCAAATGCCTCATCTACAATAATGTATATAACAACTCTATCCTGGACTTAATTCTAGCATTCTTTTAGATAAAATCTATGATATAGCAACTCTCTCTTGTCCAGTGTTCGGGGGTATTGTGAAACT